ATATTGACTATTTTGTGTGAAAAACACTTGAAGAACAGCAGGTGCAAGAAGGTCATTCTGACTTTCCTTCTGTTTCTTAAAAGCAGGAGATAAAATTCCCATGTGAAAGATATCCTCCCTATGCCAGAAGTAAAGTAACATTCTTATTATCAAGGACTAGGGAACATAGGGAACATTGGAAATTGAGGTCAAGGGAAATGTGTACAAACAAACTTTATCCTCCCAGCCACTTCACCCAATTAACTCAGCCCAAGCCCCTCTGCCATGCCACACTTTCATAATTCACTACTGTTTGTCTAATTCAGCATATAAGTGTTCAACTCTGTGTATTTGAGCGTTTCTTTTTGAAGACTCCCATGCCAAGTGAAACTTGTATTAAATAAGTCTGTATGCTTTTCTCCTGTTCATCTGTCTTATGTTCATTTAATTCTCTGACCCAGCTGAAAAACTCTTAAAGGATAGAGGTAAAATTCTGCCTCCCCTGAAATGAGAACAGCATTTTCAACAGAGAACAGTAAGAACTGAATTCAATGCTGATTTTATTTCAACTGAATAAACCAATGCACAAGTCATCTAGGCAGTAAGCTTAACTCTAGGAGCAAAAGCCAAGAAATGAAGATTCTTTTTTTCTTTAAATTATCCATCACTATACATGGCTGTCTTCCATATCTCCTCTTAGAAAATGTGGGTTAACAAATCTCGTGCAAAGAAACATAGGAAAAGAGAAAAAGAGGAAATGCGATTTATCTAGTGTGCCAGTCAAGGTGGTCTCTCCATCTTCTTTTCTGTAAACTGCTCCATTAGCAGGGTTCATTTCGGATGATTTTAATATCATGACCATCTTCCCTGCAAATTGAACAATCATAGAGACACAATTATTACCTATCATACTGAAACTGCCTCACTATTGGTATTAAAAGGACCCATGTAATTATACATTAGATTCCTTCAGGGCTACACTTAATCATTTTTTTAAGCTAAATCTAGGAAACAGGGTGAAAGTCCCCACTCTGACATTTTTTCCCTAACCCTAAGGCACAGGACACTAACCCCAAAGAATCACTCAGAGGGCTGAGCACGCCTGTAATCCCAGCACTTTGGGAGGCTGAGGTGGGTGAATCACTGGAGGTTAGGAGTTCAAGACCAGCCTGGCCAACATGGTGAATACCCATCTCTACTAAATATACAAACATTAGACCAGGTGTGGTGGTTCACACCTGTAATCCCAGAACTTTGGGAGGCCAAATTGAGTGGATCACCTGAGGTTAGGAGTTCAAGAGCAGCCTGACCAATATGGTGAAACCCCTTCTCTACTAAAAATACAAAAATTAGCTGGGTATGGTGGCTCATGCCTGTAATCCCAGCTACTCGGGAGGCTGAGACAGGAAAATCTCTTGAACCCCGGAGGTGGAAGTTGCAGTGAGCCGAGATCGTGCCATTGCACTCCTGCCTGGGTAACAAGAGCAAAATTCCAAATAAAAATATATATATATACAAAACTTAGCCAGGCATGATGGCACATGCCTGTAATCCCAGCTGCTTGGGAAGCTGAGGCAAGAGAATCGCTTGAACCTGGGAGGAAGAGGTTGCAGTAAGCCAGGCGACAAGTGAGACTCAGTCTCAAAAAAAAAAAAAAAGAATCAGAGAAGACCGACTGAGGTCAGATAATGAATCCCTGCTCTATACAAAGCTGCATACCTGAAGAAGCAGTCACAGTGACCTGGTCAGGTGTGCTACATGAAGCGTATCAAGTATAATACACTCATTACTTACCATTCCACTAAGTAGCGTCAGTAAGTCCTACTTCCTGACTAGTAGTACAGGGTGTGCAGATCACCCACACATGCCCTTTGAATTAAAAATAAAATTTAATACTCCACAGAGTTTATTCAATAGACTCTTAATTTTAAGAAATTTCGAATTCATGGGCAATAATATAATTTGATTACATCTTATTCTTTAACTTGACTCGAAAAATGCACTGAGGATTTTGCATCTTTTTAATCATCACCCTGAAAACTGAGAACTACCATAAACATGTCATGTTTGATACTTATATCCAATAAAATGGACACTACCTCCTAAGTAATCAAAATCCAACAAAAGAAATGAAGAGCCCGGGCACAGTGGCTCACGCCTGTAATCCCAACACTTTGGGAGGCCGAAGCAGGTGGATCACTTGAGGTCAGGACTTTGAAACCAGCCTGGCCAACATGGTGAAACCCCATATCTACTAAAAATACAAAATTAGCCGGGCATGGCAGTGCCTGTAATCCCAGCTACTTGGGAGGCTGAGACATGAGAATTGCTTGAACCCAGGAGGCGGAGGTTGCAGTGAGCCAAGATTTCACCACTGCACTCCACCCTGGGTGACAGAGTGAGACTGTCTCAAAAAACAAAGAAACAAAAAAAAAAACAAAGAAATGAAGAAAAATTTTACAGTTGTAAAATCACATTACCTGATTTTCATGCACAGAGTACATTCATTGGGATAAGTGGACATGTCACTGCCACACACAGGGTTAAAGTCTCTGGGACATCCTGGTAATTTATACTGAGCACAGTTTGGATGGAAAAAAGAGACAGAGAAATTCGAGAATGACTTGAGATACAGTCATATAAAATAGCTCAGAGGAGAATATGTTCCAGATCTCCCTAGATTTCCTAGACTAATTCAATAAAAATATTTTTATCTTCCAGAAAAAAAATTTTCTAATGCAAAAATCAGATACAATGTTGATGTGATGGTTCAATGCATGCTATGTAAAAAGAGGACCTCGGCTGGGCATGGTGGCTCACGCCTGTAATCCCAGCACTTTAGGAGGCTGAGGCAGGCGGATCGGATCACTTGAGCTCAGAAATTTGAGACCAGCCTGACCAACATGGAGAAGCCCTATCTCTACTAAAAGCTACAAAATTAGCCGGGCATGGTTGTGCATGCCTGCAATCCCAGCTACTCAGGGGGCTGAGGCAGGAGAATCACTTGAACCCAGGAGGTGGAGGCTGGGCAAC